ATTCAGGTTCACTATCTCTGCTCAGGACTAGCCCTTTGTCTGGTGCAAATATGTTCAGTTCCACTMATTTCAATTTACTGTCATGTACATTAGGTGAGGTTTTGGCCTCTAACCTGTYATTTACTGCACAGTTGTGTCACTCAGACAAGGATTGCTTGGGGCTGCATATTAAATATTTCTATCCTCCTTCCAATGCTGAAAAGCATTTCTCACTCCATGATACTCCAGAGCTGCATGGCACAAACGTTTATCCATGCATCAAAAATGGGACAATTTGAAAAGTTTTTTCAGGATCTGGACCTTGCAGTTTATCKGTTGAGTTAGCCTTGTGTGATAGATGTGAGACTTATTCCAGCCCTTCCTGTGGGAAATGGTGGCGGCTGCTTTCATTCCTAATGTGTGCCTGGAGATTTGCTGTGCAGGAGCTGAAAGCCAAATGTGAACTTTTCTATGTGTGAATTACTTCCCAGAGGAGAACATCTTTTCCAGCTGTAGCTGTACAGTAGAGCGATAATGGAAAATAAACCTCAGCTCCTGAAAGAAAATATCAGTGGCAGACAGTGAAGATTTTGCTGGAACAAACCTGGAGCGCACAAGGTTAAGATGGCAGAAGAGGGTTTTCTAGAGCAGTTGCTTCGTGTTTTGTTCCTGATGAGCTTTTCTGTCGGATGCACTGCTACCAGCCACATACATGCATAAAACCAGGAAGTTTTGAATCCTCTGATTCCTTTTACTGTGTCATGTCATTTAATAACTCCCCATGACMAGTAGCACAAGAGACTTATGAATTTGTGGCAACAGCGTGGCCAGAGTAGGTTGTGTGGACAAARTTCTCCTGCCAGAAGCTGAGGAGCTGTGCTAAAGCCGGCTTCTTCCTTCTTACTATCCACACAAGGTGGATAATGTGGTTTAATCCCAGCAGACAACTAGACACCATAGTGACAGTGTGAGGGGGAGAAGAATCAGGAAAGAAAAGATAAAACTTGTGGGTTGAGATAAGAACAGCTTGATAATTGAAGCAAAGTAAAATATAATAGTATGAATGATAATAATAACAATAATATCAGTAATAAAAAGGGGAGGGAAAGAGAAAGAGAAAGAGAGAGACAGAGACAGAAATAAACCCCCAGAAAAACAAGTGATTCACAGTAGAGTTGCTCACACTCATTGACCAATGCACAGCCCACCCCATGGCTGCAATGAATTTGATATCAATATTATTCTCAAAACTAAACACAGCAATGTACCAGCTGCTAAGAAGAAAATTACCTCCATCCCAGCCAAAATCAGGACAGATGTGTTGCTGCCCATGGCTTGAGCCTGAGAGGCAGAGGGATCTGTTCAAACCATGATTGCTACTGAGGTGGAACWCAAGAATGGACTTTGCTAACATTTTCTCTTGCTCCCCATGATGGTGGGTATTGGCAGTACAAATATATCTGGAGAATTCAAACAGAACAGCACTTGTGACTAAATGGGTCCATGGCCATCCTCCAACAGGGATAAACATACTGGTTGTGAAGGCTGTCTGTTTTCTGGGGCTCAGGGAAGAGGGGGCAGTTTCCTCAAATAGCCCAGTAGGCTGGGAAAGATATCCAGGATTTTACTCTGAGTCATGTGTGAAACAAGTCTTGGCAATGAACAGCAACTACTGGAAACTCAAAGAAAAAACAGCTAAAACAGTAAAATAAACTATCTTATTCAGATGGGCTTGTTTTGGATGAGYGATTCCAATTCCCTTATTAAAAAGAAAAAACAAACCTAAGCCAAACTGCTCTTGTATGGTCCAGTCCCAAAATGTGTGTTTCCATCTGTTGTTTGAGCTGACAGAACAGGATTTATTTTGAAACCTCAGTTTTGCTCTTTGCCTGCYTTCCTGACAGACCCAAAGCCCTGCCCTGCTCTTCTGTGAGGAAGGTGTTTTGACAGCTCCTTTCCAGTGACCAAAAGCCGTGTCTACTGTTTGTCAGGAGTCCTACTGTGTGACAAGGAAAAGGGGATGTTTCTTCCTACATTTGTGCTGATGATAATATTCTTCCTATTTACTTTTATTTTACAATGTCTTCTAATATTTTAGTTATAATCAAACATGATTAGTAGACTCATTTTCCCCTATATAATCTCACTGAAATAAATTTTTCAGTTTAATTCTATGTTGCCTCAAAGATTTCTTTGTGTAAAATTCAAGGCAGGATATGCATTATCAATACCATTGTTTTTATTTAATATTCAGGATRGATGATTTAGTTTCTTGAGGGTATTGTTTGCTTGACGTGTGTTCCTCCCCCACATAAGGCAGAGTGACACAAGGCTAAATCAGAAGTGGATGAATTGTAATGTTGGAAATTCAAAGCTTAGTCATAAGACCATAAGACCATATAATAACTCATGCCCTGAAGGAGACCACACTGAGATTCCAGGGGCTGTCTCAGGTCAAATATTTCCTGGCCCTTGGATGTTTGATTTGGTAAACTCAAATTTCTTTAACTTCTTTCAGTATTTCCAATCTTGACAGGGGTTTTTTTTT